GACGCTAGTCGACGCTAAAGGCAGAATTAACAGTGCATACCCAGCCCCCATGGTTTGCTACCGAACGCATCTGACGTTCGGGCGTTTCTTGGGCCTCTCGGACGAGCCCAGAGAGTCCAGATGGAGCAGGGGGAACTCGACGAGATCCTGATGGCCGTTTGTTATACTACGGCTTGCTTACTTTTTGAATGCTTGATTGTCTGTTCACACATTATTATGCAGCGCGCACAGGGGGAAGGCAGAGGAGAGGCGGGCCTTCTCGGAGGTTCCCCCCGGCCTTCTAAGAGCAGCTCCCTGGAAGCCTTGCCTCCGAAGCCACTGAGAGGGCCCCCGCCGCCTCCCGAGCAGGCCTGCCCCCTCTCTCTCGCCCCCCCCCCCTCGGCGCCGCCGAATCCTCCGAGAGCCTCTAGAGGCCTCCTAGATGGGGTCCGAGTAGAGGCCTCCGAGGGCCTCTAGAGGCCTCCACCGCATCGCCGATGCCTCGCCGATGCATCGCCGATGCATCGCCGATGCATCGCCGATGCATCGCCGATGCATCGGCGACGTGGGCGAGGCGTCGGCACAACGTCGACGTGAAGCGAATCGGGCGATCCTCCGACCCCATCCGCTCCGACCGCGGGGAAAAAGCACACAAAAAAAAACACACGTGGGGACAAAACACACACGTGTGTGTGGGAAAAACACACACACATGTGTGTGTGTGTTTCCCCACGTGTGTGTGTGTGTGTATGTGTTTTTCCCCACGTGTGTGTGTGTGTGTTTTCCCCACAGTGTGTGTGTTTTTTGTATGTTTTGTGTTGTTGTCTCCCCCCCGACGCCCGCCGCCCTCGCCCGCCGGCCTTCGCCGCCTCCCTCGCCGCCCCCCGGCGCCGCGCGGCCACGTCCGCGGGCATCTGCAGCTCGGCCCCAGGCCTGGCGGCGCGCTCGCCCGCGGCCGATCGCGCGCGCGGCCGCGGGGGCCCTCCGAGGCTCCGCGGCCCTCGCTCGCCGAGGCCTCGGCCCGCCGGCCCCCGGAGGCTCCGCGGCGAGCGAGCGAGCGAGGCACCGGCGCGGAGCGTCATCTGGGCGGGCGAGGCCGTGGCCTCTATATGTATGTATGTATGTATATATATATATATATATATATAATATATTATATATAATATATCATTAATAATGATCATGATAATAATGATGATAATAATAATAAAAATAACAATAATAAAATAATAAAGAATAACACAAAATAATGATAATAAAAATAATAATAATAATCATAAAAATGATAATAATGATTAAAAAGATAATAATGATACGAATGATGATGATAATAAGAATCAGAATAATAATAATAATAATAGTAGTACTAATACTGCTAATAATAATACATAATGATAATAATAATAATAACAATAATCTTCATAATAATAATAACGATATACTCTTGATAATAACAATAACGATAATAATAACAAGATAATAATAAATGGTAATACAAATAATGAGAACACTGATAATAATAAATCAACTAATAATAACAGTAATAAAAATACTATTAGTGATAAGAATAATAATGGTAATACTAATACTAATGGTAATGATAATACTACGAATACTAATAATACAAATAAAAAATGATGATGCTAATAATGCTAATAATAATAATCATAGTAATAATGCTAATAGTAATCATCATCATCATCATCATCATCATCATCATCAGCATCATCATCATCATCATCAGCATCATCATCATCACATCATCATCATCATCATCATCATCATCATCATCATCATATTAGTATGTTATACTGTTTTATGTTTTGAACAGAAAACTAGAGCCATCGCGCGAGTTTCGCGCGCGCTCAAAATCTAGCTGGGGTCATGATCTTCGCCGTCACTGTCGTCCTCATCCCCGTCATCTTCATCGTCATCGTCATGGCCATGGTCCCCTTCACCATCACCACCACAACAATCCTCCTCATCCTCCTCCTCCTTCCCCTCCTCCTCCTCCTACTCCTCCTCCTCCTCCTCCTCCTCCTCCTCCTTCTCCTCCTCCTCCTCATCCTCAGTGTCATTCTCTTCCTCTCTTCTCTCAACACACCCAGTACACGGGTGCCCACTGGAACGCGTGCCGGAAGTCTCTTTGGAAGCATTGTGGCAGTCTCTGGAGCCTCTCCGGGCCTTCCTTTGGAGTCCTTTGGGGCCTTTGTTGGCCCGTCTGAAGGCCCGTTTCGGCCGTTCTGGGGCCCTCTTGGCTCATCGTGGGGAGCTCAGCCCGTCTTGAGGCCCTCCTGGGGCCCTCTCCGACCATATAGGAATCCTCTGGTGGCCCCCTCGGGCACTCTTGGGCCGTCGTGTAGCTCTTCTGTGCCGCTTGAAGCTCTCTTCAGCCCATCTTGGAACCCTCCTTGGGGCCTCTGGGGCCGTCTGGGGCCCATTTTGGTGACCTCTTGGGCCGTCGCGACCACTGGCAGAACTGAAAAGCGAAGCTCCCAGAGATATATACGTTTTTCCATCGGAGATGCTTGATTCTGCCTCTGGAGGGCCTTCTCGGCGGCCTCTTGGACCGTCGTGGGGGACTCCTTTGGGGGCCTTCTGTGGCCCGTCGGGGAGCCCCATCTCGACCCCAAGCCCCTCTTGGCACGTCGTGGGCAGCCGAGCCGTCTCGGGGCCCTCACGGAGCCCTCTCCGACCACGCAGGGATCCTCCGGTGGCTCCCTCGGGCCCCCTGGGGACTCTCAAACAAAAAAACAAAAAAAGGGCACATGGAGGAGGGTGGCTGCGGAGCCATGGGGGCAATACATGAACCTCGTGTCAAGGAGCCCGCAGGTGCAAATCTGCAGTAAAACAACAGCAGTATTCCCCCTGCGACTAGGATCGACCAGCGCATGGAGGAGCGTGGCGGCGGAGCACTCGGGGCAATACATGAAACAGAACGCAGTTTCCCCCTGCGGTTAGGATCGACTCTCGCGGTACTCTACACCACAAAGCATTGCTCCTCCAAACCCGCGGGGCGCGCGCCGAAAACGCGCTCCGCGACCGTCGGCTCGAAGAGGAGCAGGAGGAGGCAACCTGAGTATCGCTCAACCGATCCCTATCCCCGCCAGCGTGGCCAGCGCCCTGCAGGACGAAAAATTAATATAACAACACAAACATGTAAACTCTTGCATAATACCTGTGGTGCACACGGGGTCTGCGCCGCGGCACCAACTTTCTACTGCAACACCCAAGTAACGCTCAACAACAAGGTCATGAAGGCGGGACAATAAGCCCAAACACCTGAGACTTCGGTCATAGTGCACGTGGAAGGATAATCGCTGGACGCCAAGACTTGTCCCACGAGGCTTTGATTAAGTATGGACGTACCCGATACTTGATGATCAGATTCGTAACTTGAGCACGTATTTGATGTGTACCAAGCCCATGGCGTTGTCCCACATGCAACGATAGAGCCTGTGCAATTCTCACGACGAAACGCATTGAAAGTTGCTCGGTCGCCGAGGCAGGTCACATCACAGTGACATCTGTGTAGACGTAGCAAGCCAGCGAGCCTGTGGCTTGAAATAAAAACTGTATGAAGGGCTGCCAAAGCATTCTGAATCCGGGTAAGTCTCCGCGAAATACACAGTCCCCGAAGGCGCCCCAGGAGCAGGAGGCCTCAGAAGGCAACAGGAGTGGCTCCAATCTCATGTGTTTTACGTATGCTCCTATCGATTGGGCCTCACCTGGAGCACGATTACTTGATGCTATACGTATGTTTCTATAGATTGTCCTTCTCCTGTGTACACACTCCTTCATGTTTTATGTTCCTACATTGCGGGCCTCTCCTGGGGCGCGAGTCCTTGGTGTTTTACGCGTGTCCTATAGATTGCCCTTCTCCTGTGGCTCTAATCCGCAATGTTTTATGTACGTCTGTTGCCATAGACTGGGCCTCTCCTGGGGCACGAAACCTCCCTAGGAGGTCCCAGGAGGCCCCAAGAGGCTCCTGGAGACCCAGGAAGCCCCAGTAGGTTTCAGGAGGCCCCAGGAGGCCCCAGGCTCATGCGCAGAGACGCGCTCGTACTACTGAGGCTCATTCACACTCCAATTCATTCGCAGTTAGATTCATGCCCAGACCGTCACAACTGAAGCCCGTTTATGTTCGAAAGCTCTTGCGCCTAGCCATTCGCGGCGGACAGGTCCATGCGAATAGATGCACCAGTGGGGAGCTCCGCAGTGAATACTTATTCCCCATATCCTAAGATGGGGTGCTTGTTATTCCCCATATCCTAAGATGGGGTTATTCTTATTACTTGGACGCCTCCTACTCATCATTCTTCTTCCTCTTCTCCTCCCCTCTCCTCCTCATACCCAGACTTACTCATACACAGATTCACTCACACTCAGACTTACTCAGACACAGACTCACTCACACAAAAATTACTCATACTCAGACCTACTCCTACTCAGACCTACTCCTACTCAGGCTTACTCATGGTGAGACTCACGCACGCGCCGTTCGCGGACGTTTTGTGGGGATGTCTCAAGCGGTTTGCCTGTTTGCTGTCCCAACATCCTTCGCTTTCGGAGCAGAGTTGGAGGATGTCTCGAGCGAGGCGCTCAGTTTCACCCCCCTAAGGGGAGCCGCCAGGGGTTATCTCACGGTCCCGTTCGCGGCCGTTTTGTGGGGATGTCTCAAGCGGTTTGCCTGTTTTCTGTCCCAACATCCTTCGCTTTCGGAGCAGACTTGGAGGATGTCTCGAGGGAGGGGCTCAGTTTCACGTCCCTAAGGGGAGCCGCCATACATATGTATATATATATACATACATACATACATACATACATACATACATGCATGCATGCATGCATGCATGCATACATACATACATACATACATACATACATACATACATGTATACGTATATACACATGTATATATGAATACGTATATATATATGCATATAGCTGTGTATATGTATATATGTATGTATGCATGCATGCATGCATACATACATACATACATGCATGCAGAACATACGTACATGCATTGCATAGATGCATACATGCATACATACATATATACATACATACATACATACATACATTCATGCATGCATGCATACATACATCATACAAACGTAAATACATACATGCATGCATGCATGCATACATACATACATGTATACTTACCTACCTACCTACCTACCTACCTACATATCTACATACACACATACATACATACATACATACATACATACATACATACATACATACATGCATGCATGCATGCATGCATGCATGCATGCACACATACATACATACATACATACATGCATGCATGCATGCATACATACATACATACATACATACATACATACATACGTACGTACGTACATACATACATATATATACACACTAGAGCCATCGCGCGCGCGCTTCACGCGCACTCAAGTTCTAGTTAGGGTCATGATCATCGTCATCATTGTCACCCTCATCCCCGTCATCTTCATCGTCATCGTCATGGTCATGGTCCCCTTCACCATCACCACCACAACAATCCTCCTCATCCTCCTCCTCCTCATCCTCCTCCTCCTCATCATCCTCCTCCTCCTCCTCCTCCTCCTCCTCCTCCTCCTCCTTGTCATCCTCCTCCTCTCTTCTCTCAACGCACCCAATACCTCTTTGGAAGCATTGTGGCAGTCTCTGGAGCCTCTGCGGGCCTTCCTTTGGAGTTCTTTGGGGCCTCTATTGGCCCGTCTGAAGGCCCGTTTCGGCCGTTCTGGGGCCCTCTTGGCTCGTCGTAGGGAGCTCAGCCCGTCTTGAGGCCGTCCTGGAGCCCTCTCCGACCATATAGGAATCCTCTGGTGGCCCCCTCGGGCTCTCTTGGGCCGTCGTGTAGCTCTTCTGTGCCGCTTGAAGCTCTCTTCAGCCCATCTTGGAACCCTCTTTGGGGCCTCTGGGGCCGTCTGGGGCCCATTTTGGTGACCTCTTGGGCCGTCGCGACCGCTGGCAGAACTGAAAAGCGAAGCTCCCAGAGATATATACGGTTTTCCATCGGAGATGCTTGATTCTGCCTCTGGAGGGCCTTCTCGGCGGCCTCTTGGACCCTCGTGGGGGACTCCTTTTGGGGCCTTCTGTGGCCCGTCGGGGAGCCCCATCTCGACCCCAAGCCCCTCTTGGCACGTCGTGGGCAGCCGAGCCGTCTCGGGGCCCTCACGGAGCCCTCTCCGACCACGCAGGGATCCTCCGGTGGCTCCCTCGGGCCCCCTGGGGACTCTCAAACAAAAAACAAAAAAAGGGCACATGGAGGAGGGTGGCTGCGGAGCACTCGGGGCAATCCATGAACTTCGTGTCAAGGAGCCCGCTGGTGCAAATCTGCAGCAAAACAACAGCAGTATTCCCCCTGCGACTAGGATCGACCAGCGCATGGAGGAGCGTGGCTGCGGAGCACTCGGGGCAATCAATGAAACTCGTGTCAAGGAGCCCGCATGTCCAAAACTGTAGCAAACCAGCAGTATTTCCCCTGCGGCTAGGATCGACCAGCGCATGGAGGAGCGTGGCTGCGGAGCACTTGGGGCAATCTCTGAAATTCGTGTCAAGGAGCCCACACGTGCAGATCTGCAGCAAATTTCCCCCTGCGACTAGGATCGACCACCGCATGGAGGAGCGTGGTTGCGGAGCACTTGGGGCAATCAATGAAACTCGTGTCAAGCAGCCCGCACGTGCAACTCCGAAGAAAAAAAAACGTAGTTTCCCCCTGCGGTTAGGATCGACTTTCGCGGTACTCTACACCACAAAGCATTGCTCCTCCAAGCCCGCGGGACGCGCGCCGAAAACGCGCTCCCCGATCGTCGGCTCGAGGAGGAGCAGGAGGAGGCAACCTGAGTATCGCTCAACCGATCCCTATCCCCGCCAGCGTGGCCAGCGCCCTGCAGAACGAAAAATTAATATAACAACACAAACATGTACGCTCTTGCATAATACCTGTGGTGCACACGGGTCTGCGCCGCAGCACCAACTTTCTACTGCAACACCAAGTAACGCTCAACAACAAGGTCATGAAGGCGGGACAATAAGCCCAAACACCTGAGACTTCGGCCATAGTGCACGTGGAAGGATATCATCGCTGGACGCCAAGACCTGTCCCACGAGGCTTTGATTGAGTATGGACGTACCCGATAATTGATGATAATATTCGTAACTTCAGCGCGTATTTGATGTGTACCAAGCCCATGGCGCTGTCCCCCATGCAACGATAGAGCCTGTGCAATTCTCACGACGAAACGCATTGAAAGTTGCTCGGTCGCCGAGGCAGGTCACATCACAACTACCCCCCAAGATGTGCTGGCCAGTGACATCTGTGTAGACGTAGCAGCCCAGCGATCCTGTGGCCTTCTTGAAATACAAATTGTATGAAGGGCTGCCGGAGCATGATGAATGCGGATAATTCTCCGCGAAATACACAGTCCCCGAAGGCGCCACGAAAGCGCATAAGACGGTGACGGATGAGAGAACAGTCGCCGACGACATCGCAACCATGTCACCGTGTTGGATTCAAGGTGGGCTGTCAGCGGCTGTCAGTTGTCACACTTGGATCCCCCGCGTGATTATGGCTTGAGCCAAAATGGCTACGGAACTCTCTCGGACTGTTTTGGGGCTCTCTTGTGCTGCTCGACGCTCTCTTGAGGCTGTCTTGGAGCCCTCTTGGGAGCCTCGTGGACCGTGTGGCGCCGATTTGGGGAGCCTTTGGGGTCGACGTGGCCGCCGATGGAACATAAGAAGCAAATATCATGGAAATGTACGTTTTTCCATTAAGAAATACTCTTTTTCCCCATATCCTGAGATGGGGCTTTGTTCCCCATATCCTAAGATGGGGTTCTTGTCATTCCCGCTATCCTAAGATGGGGTTATTGTTATTACTTGGAAGCGGCCTACTCCTCCTTCTTCCTCTTCACCTCCTCTCTCCTCCTCATACCCAGACTTACTCATACACAGACTGACTCACACTCAAACTTACTCATACCAGACTTACTCACGCACAAAATTACTCATGCTCAGACCTACTCATACTCAGACCTACTCCTACTCAGACTTACTCATGGTGAGACTCACGCACGCGCCGCTGTCCCAACATCCTTCGTTTTCGGAGCAGATTTGGAGGATGTCTCGAGCGAGACGCTCATGTTCACCCCCCTAAGGGGAGCCGCCGAGGGGTCTTTCACGGTCCCGTTCGCGGCCGCTTTGTGGGGATGTCTCAAGCGGTTTGCCTGTTTTCTGTCCCAACATCCTTCGCTTTCGGAGCAGATTTGGAGGATGTCTCGAGCGAGGCGCTCATTTTCACCCCCTAAGGGGAGCCGCCGAGGAGTATTTCACGGTCCCGTTCGCGGCCGTTTTGTGGGGATGTCTCAAGCGGTTTGCCTGTTTTCTGTCCCAACATTGGAGCAGATTTGGAGGATGTCTCGAGCAAGGCGCTCATTTTCACCTCCCTCAGGGGAGCCGGCGGACCCATTTTCACATCCCTAAGGGGATTTGGCTCAAGCTTGGCTCAAATGTCCAAGCTCACCCGGCTCACATCCGATACCCTTACTTCACTTTTCCCTCACATCCTACCGTTTGCCCTATCATCTGTTTCTCTCTTCTCTCCCCACTGCGGATCGAAGCCTGCCATGCCGGCGAGCACGCGGCAGCCAGGCACCCCAGTGCGTGGAGGGCTAGGCGAACGTGAAGTCCGGCAACGCCTTTTCAGTCCACTTCACGAAATGGACGGCCTGGATCTCTCTCCGCCACGTCCGGTGGAGGTGCAGATATCTACACCGGCAGCTCCAGGTACCCCGCCCGAGGCATTGGCAGAGGAACGTTCCTCAGGAGCATCTCAGCCTACCGTGTCTCAGATTGCGGAAATCATGAAACAACAGATCCATCCCCTTCAAAATTCGATTTTGGGTTTGGAGCGGGCAATGTCGGATTTGGGAGGCTCGCTTGAGTCGAGAATGGCATCCACAGAGACTCGTGTTGAGGACATCGAAATCCGCATCACGAGCATCGAGAATGCAATGTCCACCGACTCGAGGGGCTCCGGCGCAGGGTCCCAGACGGAGGAAGAAGTCTGGGAACACATCAAGTCATTGGAGGACGAGCTCGCGAACTTCAAACTTCCAACGTCCATGCCGACAGCGACCCCATCAGTGGACAATTCACGTTCTCTTACTGCCGTCGCCGGCGGCCTGAAAGACTGTGGAAACACCGACGACGCCTTCAAGTTGGCCGGTGACGCTCTTTGGAGCAAGTGGGCACCTTATCCTGTTGACCACTACGTCAAGGGCGAGTTCAACGGCATTCTCTTCTTGAAGTTTACTTCTAAAGTCGACCGGGACATCGCAGTGAAGACCCTCAAGGAAGCAAGCATCCAGCACGGCTCCCACAAGGTCTGGGCCAAACCGGATCTTCCTTTGGATGTACGTGTGAACCAGTCGTTTCTTTTCAGCGTCAAGCGCATGATGACTGAGTGGGGATACGACCGCAAGTCGGCGTGGGCAGATTTGGACTCAATGTGTGTGAAAGTTGGTTTCGATTCAGTCTTGTCTTCAAAAGTTGATGGTGCCAAGCTCGTCGTTACGTTCACCACCGACGAATGGAAGAAAGCACTTTCGTGCGAGGATTTGGACAAGCTGCGCCTTGAGTCCGATGCGAAGCTGGCAAAAGGGGCCCCTCCAACCAAAGGCGCTGGCAAAGGGAAGCGGAAGCATTAGGAGGCAGCCCGGTCAAACAACAATGCCTGCGTGCAGGAGCAATCGCTCTGGATGTTCTGCAAGAATGCCCGCTTAAACGGCGATAACAAACTTGCAGAGGTTTTGGCAGAGCGCGGAGAATTCGTTTGGGACTGCATCTGCTTTAGCGAAGCTAGGGCCGCAGATGGGGATGTCCTGTTGCAAGGGGGACACAGACTGTTGAGCAGCTTAGGTGGACCGAAATTTGCAGGAGTAGCTTTGCTCATCCACGGCCGCTGGGTCGACAAAACTCTCGACTACAAGGCCGTTTCGGGCAGAGTTCTACATTGCGACATACGTGTTGGGAGGTATACCTACAGATGGATAGCCGTCTACGTCCCGCACGCCGGTTACCCGCACGACGATTTCATAGAGTGTTTGAGCGATATTCGTTTTGCTGTTCTGGAAGCCCAGAGCCAGAACTACCGGTGCGTGTTGGGCGGAGATTTCAATACCGAGGCTGGAAGAGGCAGGAGAAGTGCAATATTATCAGCTTTCGCTGCCGAGCTGGATCTTGTGATTTGCAACGTAGTTCGAGGATGAACTTCTAGAGTGTCAATGGACTTTCCGCAGCTGCCTCGGACGACTCCGCCGTCTGGATTACGTCATGGTCAGCAGTTGCACATTTTTCCACAGTGCAAAGCCGACAAACATGCTTGACCTCGGTTCAGATCACAGGGCGGTGCAGGTGTGCCTTCAAGCTCCGGCGTTGGCTGGGCAGAGGAAGTCGACGGAAGCGCCGGCAGACGCACAAAGACATTGATTGGGAGATGTATGCCACCAAGGTGCCCCAGAATATCGCTGCTCAGGAGTTCCCTCCGGCATCTCTGGGCGACGTGGAGCGCATCGCTCTTCTTGCAACTGGAGAGTCGCAGCGGCCCCGGTTGCCCGCCCAGCAGAGCAACGGGAGCAGCCATCTGGACCGTCTGCGAAGAAGGAGGAGATGCATGACCAACCCGGCCGAGAGACGAGATATCTCAAAGGAGATCTGGAGGCTGAGCCGGAAACAGTCTCGTGCACGACAGACAGCCAGAACAACTGAGGTGCTCGCTAGCTTCAGTGATCTTCGTCGCCTGGAAGCGCTGCACAGATTCCCTATCACAAGATCTTCGCAACAGGGTCCAGATGTTCGCAAATGTGCCGACCTGTTGGAGATATACACGTCCAGCGTGCCACCCGACGCGGGTGAGCATGACGAGGACAAGGTGCCAGCCGTTACTGTCGAAGAAGTTGTGAAGGCAGTCAAAGCGATGAGACGACGCAAAGCTGCTGACACGAAGGGCGCGTTGCTGGAGATGTTCTTCTTTGGCGGAAACGATATGTTGCACTACTTGTCTGACATGTTCAATGCAATTTTGCAGAGCGGTTGCGTTCCGGCTGACTGGCGAGAGACCTTCTTCAAACTTTTGCACAAGGGCGGGGACGCCGCAGACCCGAACAATTGGAGGCCGATCGCGATTCTCAGCGTCTCTTACAAGATCCTTGCTCGAGTGGTCTTCCACAGGATACGCGGCGTTCTAGATTCGCAACAGTCTGAAGAGCAGTTTGGTTTTCAACGAGACCGGTCGACTGCTGACGCTCTGATTGTTGCCGAAAGCCTCGCGAGCAAGAGCCTCGAGTTCAACGAAGACCTGCGGCTGGTCAGCGTAGATCTGCGCAAAGCATTTGACAGGGTTGAACAGCCGGCACTGTTCCGCGCTCTCCAAGCGCAGGGACTCCCCTCTGGATATCGCCAAATACTGCGAACGCTGTACAAATCTCAAACAGGTGTCTTGGGTAATGATTTCCGGTTTCCTATCACCCGGGGCGTCAGACAGGGCGACGTACTATCTCCGCTCCTGTTCAACAGTGTCCTGGAAGCTGCCATCCGCGAGTGGAAGGCGAAGCTGAACGGCCATGGCCTGGCTGTCTGTTCGGACGGAAGCAAGGAGCGTCTGTCGAACATTCTTTTTGCAGACGATCTGTTACTATTCGCCAGCAGTGTGGAAGGGGCTGTGGACATGCTAGACATGCTCACGCAGACGCTTCGCAATGATGGTCTGGAGCTGAACGTGAAGAAAACGAAGATGTTGTCGACGACGGTCACGGAGAATGATACTGTTCTGATCGAAACTGCCGATGGGTTCGTGGAGCTTGTGGCTGCTAACAGAACCCACAAATACCTTGGGAGGGCGTGGCCGGGCAACCTCGGACAACGCGGACAGGCTGCTATCGACCATCGCGTTTGCTGTGCAGGGTTGAAATTCCGTTCTCTGCAAACTTCGCTGACGAATAGGCACGTCAACGTCAAGCTGCGTCTGAAGCTCTTCAACGCGACCGTTACACCTACGTTGGTATACGGGCTGGAAACTTGTGCGTTGGATCAGAAGGAGCTGGACCACCTAGACATTACGCAGAGGAAAATGCTCCGGCGAATCGTCGGCTGGGTGTTCGACGATAGCGATTCGTGGGAAGATGCTGGCCGCAGAATGAAGCAGAGGCTCGAATCTGCCAGGCGCCTGCACTACATTGCAGATTGGTCTTCGGTTGTATCAAAGCGCAAGAAGCATTTACTGACCGTCTGTTGTCCCACCATGCTCCGTCGCTGCCTAAACTAGCGCACGAATGGTCCCCTACTGCATGTGCGGCGCTGAACAACAGCCGGCCGCATCGTGCCAGAGGCCGGCCGCGGCGTCGTTGGTTTGACGACGTGCAGCTCTGACGGCGCATTTTTGTTCTTTCTCCCGAGCTCTGCACAGGGCCGACTGGTTCGATCGGGCGCAACGCAACGCA